AGAGGTAGCATCTCGTAGTCCGGTCTTGTCTCATTTAGCGGAAACTATGAATGGTGTGGATACTATTCGAACAAGAAGCAGGCAGAGAGCTTTCGAGGATAAGTTTCACAGGTACATGTTTAATATGTTTTGGTACATGTTGCAGATAAATTTCAGATATTCAGGTCAGTCTTGTCGAGCAATGGAACGGGGGAACGGTGTTCCTAAGTCTCAGGATGGGCGCCGCCTGCAGCGAGGTTTTCTTTAAAAAAAAGAGAAATTGATAAAAATGAAATAGATAATTTTAAAAAATTTATGGACAGAAAAAAATGCATAGACTGAAAAAAACATACCATAAAAACAAAAAGGATTGAAAACCCCGGCCGATAAATGACATCCTGCGGGCGCAGATAAGGAAAATTCCCTCCATAAAGCATTTCAAACTATTAACAAAATAAATTGTACCTCCTTAAAGTTTGATTTTTTTTTGTTTCTGATTTTTTTAGCTCGCTTCCAATTTCATGTAATGTATATTTAACATTGCCAAGCTAAAGAGGGTTAGACACGAAAAAGTCGATTTGAACCAAACTTTGTATGCACTTGGGATAGGCAGATATTATTGACATTATTATTACTATTATCATTATCACTAACTTTTTTCCCAAAGGCATCAAGATCTCCACAATCAGGCAAGTGTTATGTGGAAACAAGGAGCGAGATGGCTTTGTGTTCGCCTGAGTCTTTTGTCGTGCCTATTAGTGACCGTAGTGGCTCTCGCATCGATATTGATGTCACAGGATGTCGGTGAGTAAAAATGTAATCTTTTGGACTCGCAGGAAACCAGGTGTCAAACTTGATCCACGTTCCATAATTCTCTTAAATTATAAAACTCCATATGCACATTGTATTACCAGCCTCCTTTGCAAAGATTTTTTGAAGGAAAAATTGATGTTACAGAAGGCATAAACTGAAGAACGATAAGAAAACGACAAGCAGCAACAACAACAACAACAATGGTATCCAGATTTGATATAGAGGTGCGCCATAGCACCTCAGAAGCTAATCTTGGACGCAGGCTAATCTAAGGACGCAGGCGGCTGACATTCATTGAGCACATATAGTATTAGTTAAACTATGCCTAAATTGGCACATAATTTTGATTGCTAAATGAGGTATATTCAATTCAAAACAAAATTGCAAGTAATGGTATGGCAAGAGATCCACTACTGTAATAATGGTGTTTAGGTTAAGAGCCTCTAACAAGTACAGAGGCAGGTTTCCTTGATCTTGACCACCCAAGCAAGGGTTATTTGTTGTATAAATAAGAAAAAAAAACCTTTCCTTGTTGGTGAGTCGACAGCCTTGGTCAGCTGTTTAGCATTCTTCGTAAGAACAATACCATGTAACACCTGGTGGTTTTCTGAATCAATTAGTCATCCTGGTAATATTCTGGGTTGTCAGCTAATATTGGCCCGATTTCTCTTGCCATTTTAGAAACGTTCTGAAAAATAAGATGCAGCTATAAACCTTAGAGCATTGAATTTGTTTCACGCCATTATCCATTGTATAAAACCACATACCAGAAGCATCAAAAGACAAAAGCTAATCTTTTAATAGAGACGAAACTCAAATAGATCTAGATTCAAATCCAAAATACAAGATCATTCTTTTCTGAGGAGATTTATGTGTCGTTTCTTTTTGGCCTTTCAGCTTTTGCGGGACTATCTCTTGCTTACATCATCCAGACTGTTGTCTTAACTGAACTTACTGTCAGAGAATTAGCAAATGTCGAGACTTATATGACGTCAGTCGAACAAGTGATGGCATACACCAAGATTGATCCTGAGCCCGGATACAAACAGGAACGACTTCCACCGGCGCGATGGCCAAGCGAAGGAAATATCACATTCCAAGACTTTTCACTGACGTACTATCCTGGAGGTCCTCAAGTGCTGAAGGGCATAAATCTGTCAATCAAAGGAGGTGCAAAGATCGGAGTGGCGGGACGTACAGGAGCCGGGAAATCATCAATTGTTGCAGGTCTTATGCGCATGCCTGACCCAAACGGACAAGTAATAGTTGATGGCATTGGATTGAAAGATCTCAACATACAGGCGGCTCGAAGATTCATATCCATTCTCGGCCAAGACCCCGTCATCTTTGGTGGTCCTTTGCGGAAGAATCTTGATTTCGAAGGGCGGTTCGAAGATGCTGATCTGTGGCGAGCGCTAGAGGATGTGCAGCTAAGAGACTTTGTAGAAAGGCTCGATGGACAGCTGAATTATGAGTTGTTAGAACAAGGGTCGAATGTAAGTGTCGGAGAGCGGCAGCTGATTTGTTTGGCCCGTGTGCTGCTGCAACGAAATCAAATCGTCATCTTGGACGAGCCTACTGCGAACGTGGATCCAGATACAGAACAGACCATTTGGAAGGTAGTACGCAAGATGCTCAAGAACTCCACAGTCATCATTATAGCACATCGCCTGCACACTATCCAGGACTGTGACAAGATCCTTGTTTTTCATAATGGTGAGATCTCCGAATATGATAATTTGGACGAAGCTACCAAGCACCTTACATAGAGTTTCCCAATTTATGGGCAATAGCCTCCATTTGGCGCAATTTATACACGGATATCCGTCCGCGGACATCATCTTTATCAAGATGCGATATATTGACCTGTTCTCAACCAATGAGCTGCTCAAATTTGTTCTTTTATGTCATCAAAGCTTTCATAGCACACTGCTTTTTTCATGCTTTTAATTGGGTGGTTAGTTTTATTGGACAATATATGCGTTACCCACCTCTTCATAATTGGACGGTACGCTTCATTTGCGCGATCCGATTGGTATACCCTAAAAGGTATTGTGGGTAGATTTCATATTACGGTTCCTGTTCCTTGACCAAATGATTTCAGGGAAATCTTTGAAAACGTCAATGTAAGGGCGAGGCATCGCGAGTTTTATGAATTTATCTACTTTTTTTGCGTGCTAAAATTCATTGATGAACAGATACTCAGAGTACCTTTCCAGATCGCTGCGCGCAGTTTTGACCATTTTCTTCCATTATGTTTTCTCACCGTTAAGCGAAAATACCCTTCATTTCTGAGCGGGCAGCTTAGGAGAAAACTTCCAAATTTTCTCGTTATCAAACAAATTGGAAAGATGAAAACGCTGCGTACTTTTCAAGCGAATGAATAAGTTTAAGAGAGGATGTCAGCATCCATCGCACAAATTTGAAATATTTTGGTAAGTCGCCCAAAATTTGCTTTCAATCTTACTTTCGTATTTTGTAGCCCAATATGTCCTAATAATTGTGGTGTAGTTTTTTTGTCAAGATATATTTTAGTTCTCGAGAAATTATTTTTTTCGTTCGACCGCTCAAATATGCAAATTTTCACCGTGAATATTACCCGAGTTGTGTGACCTCATGTAACGAGTATACTTGACCTCTAGTTTTTCTGTCAACATAATCCTTTATTTTATCATCTAAACTTAATACCCTTTCATTACTGGAGCCGGCAAAGAAATATTTATTTTTTGGTAAATATTTCTGTCCAACATACTTTTCCTATGTCGAAAGTAACATCAAAACAAAGACAGTTTTAACAATGACCGATATGATAGAATTTACTGAGCTTCGAGCTTTTAAAAGACAAAAAGATGGTTAAAAAGTTACTGTAAAAATTTCCTTGTGTATTTGTGTTTTCCTATCTTGAGACGAACTCAAAGTCCGCCAAAATTTACTTGCTAACGACTATGAAATATACATGGTGTGCCTTCTTGTCGATCTCAAGCCCAATCCCATATAAATTTTTGTATGACCTTTCTCTCCCGGTGAGATCACAGGCAGATCACACTATGAGCTCGTGGTTAAGAATTGCAGATATGAGGCGAGCGAAATCTATGAGGGTTATGAATAAAGCTCTGAAAATTACATATCTAAATTACACCTCGGTC